TGTGCCCTAGCGGAACCTGGAACAGTAGAGAAAATGGCTACAACAATGTAAATACATTAAAAAATCTCGCGTTTATATAATGCATTCAGGTTTGTGAAACAGAAGAGGATATAGACCTAGATGTGAAGAACTTGCCAAAAGTTTAATGAAATGCCCTGGGAGATTAATCAAATGTTTTAAGAGTGATACCAATATAGAAGCTTTTCTCAAGAACTGATAAAGAAAGCCTCTACTTTTATGAGAAAAATATGGCCTTCATACCTCAAGCAGAGAAGGATAAAAAGATCAAAGAATCATAGAGCAATATAATGAATGACTGTCAATTCAGAAATTTTAAATAAAATCCTGTCATATAGACTACAGTCATCTATCCAATAAGAAATTCATTATTACCAAGTTGGATTTATACTAGGAATGCAAAGAAGGTCGAACATTAGGGAAAATAATCAACATGACAGTCTTAAAACCAAAAATATCCCAAACCTCATGATTATATTAATAGATACAGAAAGAAGCCTTTGACAAAGTACAATGGTTATGCTAAAAAAACTTACAAAATATAGGAATAAAGAGATCTTTTTTAACATCATAAAATATCTGTATAAAGCACAAAAGAAGCATTATATACAATTGAGATATATTAGGAGCTCTCCCAGGAAAGACAAGAGTAAAAAAGAATGCTTAGTTTTCCTACCATTATTTTATATAATTCTAGAAATGTTAGCAGTATGTTATCAATGAATAGAAAAAGAAATTGAGTCATAAAAGTAGAGGTGAAAAATTATTCCTATTTGATGATGACATGATTCTCTATTTAGAAAATCCTAGGTCATTGTCGGAAAAAAAACCCAAATCTAGTCAATTAATAGCTTCAGCAAAGTTTTTTCTTCTTCTTCATATTTCTCCATTAATCATGTTGTAAAGAAGAATTAGAACCAAAGGGGGGAAAAGAAAAGAAAAAAAACAAAAAAGAAAAATGGTATGCTTCGATCTGCATTCATGTACCACAACTTCTTCAGCCATTTCCCGATTGATGGGCATCCCCTCAATTTCCAATTCTTGGCCTCAACAAAAAGAGCTGCTGTAAATATTTTTGTACATGTGGGTCCTTTTCCCATTGGTATGATCTCTTTGGGATACAGCCCTAGAAGTGATATTGATGGATCAAAGGATATGTGCAGTTTTATAACTCTTTGGACATAGTTCCAAATTGCCCTCCAGAATGGTTGGGTCAATTCACAACTCTACCAACAATGCATTAGTGGTCCAATTTTCCCACATCTTCTCCAACATTTATAATTTTCCTGTTTTATCATGTTAGCTAATATGATAGGTGTGATATGGTACTTCAAAGTTGTTTTAATTTTCAATTATCAAATAAATAGTGACTTAGAGCATTTTTTCATATGGTTATAGACAGCTTCAATTTCTGCATCTTAAATAATCCTGTTCATATTCTTTATTAATTGGGGAATGACTTGTATTCGTATATGTATATAAGATATGTATTACATATAATATTATACATGCATACACACACACGCTCACATACATACATACACACATACACACACACACATATATATATTCCTATATATATTTTGAAAGTGAGGCCTTTATCAGAGACACTACCTGTAAAAATTGTTTCCCAGCTTTGCTTCCCTTCTAATATGCATTGACCCTGGGCAAGTCACTTAATCCCAATTGCCTCACCAAAAACCCCCCAAAAAACCAAAAACCTTTTCAATTTAATACAATCAAAATTATCCATTTTGCATTTCTATCTCTTGTTTGGTCAAAATTCTTCCCTTTTCCATAGATCTGACAGGTAAACTATTCCTTGCTCTCTAATTTGTTTATAGTATCAGCCTTTATGTCTAAATTGTGTACCCATTTTGATTATATCTTGGTATATGGTATAAGATGTTGGTCTATGCCTAGTTTCTGCCATACTATTTTCTAGTTTTCCAAGCAGTTTTTGTCGAATGGTGAGTTCTTATCTCAGAAGCTGGAGTGTTTGGGTTAATCAAACAGTAGATTACTATAGTCATTGACTACTGTGTCTTATGTAAGTAACCTGTTCCACTGATCCACCATTCTATGTCTTAGCCAGTACCAAGTAGTTTTGATGATTGCTGCTTTATAATACATTTTAAGACCTGGTACAGCTAGACTACCTTCCCTTGCATTTCTTTTCATTAATTCCATTGATATTCTGGACTTTTTGTTCTTCCAGATGAATTTTCTTTCTTATTATTTTTTCTAGTTCTGTAAAATAATTTTTTTTGGTAATTTGATTGGTATGTTACTAAATAAGTACATTTAGGTAAAATTGTCATTTTTATTATATTAGTTTGGCCTCCACATGAACATTATTTTTTCAGTTATTTAAAACTGACTTTATTTGTATGAAAAAGGTTCTGTAATTGTGTTCATATAGTTGCTGGGTTTGTCTTGGCAAGTAGATTGCCAAATATTTTATAACATCTAGAGTTACTTTAAATGTAATTTCTCTTTCTGTCTCTTGCTGTTGGGCTTTGTAACATGTAGAAATGCCGATGATTTATGTGGGTTTATTTTATATTTCTGCAACTTTGCTCAAGTTGTTAATTATTTCACGTAGTTTTTTAGTTAATTTTCTAGTATTCTCTAAGTATACCATCATATCATTTGGAAAGAGTGATAGCTTTGTTTCTTCATTGCCTATCCTAATTCCTTCAATTAAAAAAAATATTAATTTATTTTGATTTATCAACAATCACTTCCATATGCTTTTGAGTTTAAAATTTTTCTCCCCCTTCTTCCCTACCACCCTCCCCAAGACAGCGCACAATCTGATATAGGCTCTACATATACATTCCTATTAAACATATTTTCACATTAGTGTTGTTGTAAGTAAGAATTAGAACCAATAGGAGGAACCACCAGAAAGAGGAAACAAAACTCAACAGAAGAGAAAAAAAAGCAATACAACTTCCATAGTTCTTTCTTTGCATGTGATTCCTTCAATTTTTTTTCTTCTTATTGCTAAAGCTAACATTTCTAGTACCATATTGAATAACAGTGGTGATATTGGACATGGAAATGCTTCTAGCTTATTCCCATTACATATAATGCTTGCTGATGGTTTTAGATAGACATTACTTATCATTTTAAGGAAAACTTCATTCATTTTCAGCAAAGTTTTAGGGTACAAAAAAGACCAACAAAAATCAATAGCATAACAGTGAAACTAAGAGGCAATGTGAGAAAGAGAAATCCCATTCAAAGTAATTACAAAATACATGGGAGTCAGCATTCCAAAGAATACTTAATGCTTGCATAAATTAGATTACAAAATTATTCTTAAAGAAATAAAGAACAACTCAAATTCCTGGAAGAATATGTGGTACACATGGCTGGACCATGTTAATAAAATAAAAATGATAGTACTAAAAGTTAATTTTCCATTTGAATGCAGTACTAAAGTAATAAAATTCATTTGGAGAAACAAAAGATGTAGACTATCAGGGAAATAAGGAGAAAAAAGTAGAAATGATGGGGAATAGCACCTCTTGACCTGTAAAGAATCTATGTTCAAAATCATTTGGTATTGGTTAAAAGAAAACAACAACAACAGTAAAGAAGACTAAGAAAAGGCAGAATCAGAAATAATGGAAATCATTAATCCTGTGTCTGATAGACTGGAAAACAAATTACTAAGAAAAGAACTCCCTACCTGATAAAAACTACTAGGAAAACAAACAAACAAACAGAAAGTAACCTGGTAAAAATTAGGATTAGACCAACATTTTATGTAATATTCCATAATAAATTTTAAATGGATATATAACTTGAGTATTAAAAATCATTCCATAAAACCATTAGTAGAGGAGTACTTTCACAGCTATGGATAGGAATTGAATTCTTAGCCAAATAAGAGATTGAGGCAACTGGAAAAATAAAATAAGTTTGATTATATGAAATTGAAAACCTTTTGCATAAACAAAATTAACACATCTAGAATTTGAAGGGAAGCAGTTGACTGGGAAAAATTTGCATTAAATTTCTCAGATAAGAGTTTGGTAAACAAGATATATATGCAAACAGATACCTATGAAGCCAAAAGTCAATAGATATGAACAAACAGTTCTCAAAAGAATTACAAAATATTAGTATAATGTGAAGTAGTGCTCCAATTCTCTAATAATAATAGAAATACAAATCAAAAGAATCCTGTGGTTTCACCTCCCACCCAGCAAATGGCAAAATGGGGAATAGTCTGTGTCAGCTTGTGCAAAGACAGGTATGCTCATGTACCTGTGGAGCTCTGAATTAGTGCAATGAGTCTGGAAAGTAATTTGGAATTATGCAAATAAAGTTACTAAAAATCCATACCCTTTGACCCAAAGATTTCCACTGCTAAGCACATATCTTATGGAGATGACTAACAAAAAAGGATAGATCCGTATATTCCAAAATATTTGTAACAGCACTTTTTGTAGTAGCAAAAAAAAAAAAATCAAGATTGGACTCTGCGATTTTAATGACCAAGCTAAGCACCAAGTATAAATATGAGGCCTTCTTTATATGGCAGGGAAGTATGGGTATATAATGTTGTCTATGCTGTTACAATTTGTTGATGTAGTGATTAGTTTTTCCAAACTACTTTTAAAAATTGTCTTCTTTATTATGAATGCTTACTCTCAGGGTAGGGGATAAGATAAGGTTATACTGGAAAATGAAGATGATTTAAACACAAAGCATTCTTTAAAAAGGAAATTTGGCCCTTCCCAATGTGTTTCCTCTCTCTTAGGTCCTCTTCCCCACAAATTTTAAGTAGAATTAGATTTTGCAGCCAGCAAGAGTGTGATAAGTAAATCTGGAAGCCTGGGACTACTGAATTTTGGAGACAGTCTATTCATCCTGATTTATTTTATCTCTGAAAATAATAATAATGATAATAGCTAACATTTACATAAGCATTTTAAGTCCTTTTCTTTTTCCAACTCTTACTCTAGGTATCATCTTCTCTGCCCATTTGCCATAACAAAGACATCACCAACTGAGCGAGGGCCACAGGATCCTGACTCGATTGGGTCACAGCATCTTCTGATTGTCCACTATGAGCTCCCCAGCACAGCCAGGTCAGTCATTTTGGACACAGTAAAATCATTTATTGGAAATGCATTACTTTGTTACTGATGTACTTTGTTCTCCAAACAAGTTACTTTGTCAGAAGGATTTTTCTAACATTATCTGATTATCAATATGACTGTCAGATTCAGTGTCTCATCTTACACTTCTCTATTCAGCTTACTCTCAGGCAGCTCATTTCATTTGCACCAGTCCCAGTCCTTGGCTTTCTAGGTAACTTACTTACCTTTATGAAGTGATGGATAGTTTTTTTTTTTTATTCAGTTGGCATCAAGTTCACAGCTTTCAGCATTCCAGATGCACATTCATGTCTCTATCTTAATGGCTGCCTGAGATGGGCATCTGGGGCATGCAGCGGTTATCTTTCTGGCCTCTGTTGGCCACAGAGGAAGGTTGATGTTTCTTTCCACCCTTCTTTTCTGCCAGTCTGGTTTCCCACTACATGATTCATGAGCCTTTCCACATTTTCTTCTTTTGAAATCAGAGCTCAGTGGGGAGGGGAAAGTGTGGAGTCATTTGTAATCTAGGGCCCCATGCTTCTAGGAATAGGGTGTTGGTTTGGGTACACATGCATCCAGGCCAAGTGTGGTGAAGGGAGATGAGGGTGGGGGAGGCAGCACGCAGGTCAGACTCAGCCTGGTAATTGCTGTTATTTCTTCAGGCTTTTCACTTGGGTCATTATGGGTTTATTTCACTATGTGTTTAATCTTTCAGCGTATTTATAGCTTCCTGTTATTACAAAACTAATTAGCACTCTCAAGGACAAAGTCCTATTATACTCAGGGTTGCAAATGGGGGTAAACATTTTGGCAAGATCTTCCATCATCATAGCTCTCCATTCAGAGTGGTTGCCCTATTTTCAGCCCCAATATTTCTTCCCAATTCTTATGTTAAAACAGAAATTACAATAAATTCTTTACAAGTCGTTGGTACGCAGCTCAGATTAAGGATTATCAACATACATGAAACATCTCAGATTCAGCTGTGAAACAGCATCCCTTATTCATGGGCATCCATCATTTGATGGGTTATCCAGGTGCCATTTCTCCTCCCCATTAGTAGCAGTGCTGCAGTCAATTGACATGCATTTATTAAGTACTTATTACATGCCAGGCACTGTGCTAAGTGTTGGGTATACAAAGAAATGCAATAAAATACGGTGTCAGTTTAGAGCTGGACTTTTTGATATTATTTGGAGAAAGGCAACTAGAGTTTAGAAACATCCTTTAAAATAGTAAACATGCCTTTTACCGTTTCTCCCCCACCCCCCTTCTTTTAAAGAGTCTTTGTGTCCTTGGCCCCTTGTTCAAGCCCTGGTCTGAGCTGGGGGAGGGAGGAAGGAGAAGACAAGGGGGAGTAGTGTGGGATGTTTGCAGTAAGAGTAACACAGGGGAGATGCCTGATACCAGAAAAGCTCTGTTCAGAAGGGAGTATGGAGAAGAAAAACTCCTCAGAAAAGCTTTCTGAAAGGTTACCGGTAATTGAGCCAGACTGAGCTATCCAGGACAGGCTGGATAGCTTAGATCCTGGTAGCGTTGAAATGACCTGAGGAGGAGATTAGGCAAGAGAACTCGGGAATGTTGGTGACAATGATAAATTAGTTCTGATACAATTCACAGGACAAGAGAATTAATAAGCAGCACATTCAATCTCTATATCAATTGCTTCAGGTCATCGGTGAACACTTCTATCCAGTTTTGACCTGATCTTCTTTACTTTCCCTTTTTCCTCCAAACATTTTAGACGTACACACATGTATGTGTGTGTATGTGTATTATGTATTCATATGTATATGTAAATATCATGTTTTATGCATACATTTGTGTTTATAGGCATACATGCAAACACATATATATATATATATATTTTTTTTTACATTGCAAATACTTTTTGCTATATTCTTCTCCCCATACCCACTCAGATAGCTATCTCTTAAAATAAACTTTGAAGAAAGGAAGAAAAGATTCTGCTGAACTAAACAGTATGTCAGAGACTTTTTTTTGCATTATCTGACTTCCCTATTCCTTCACTTCTATTAAAATTTTATTTTTTAATAAATAGGAATCTATTTTCTCTCCCTCTCCTTTCCTACCTCACTGGGGGGAAAAACCAAATTCTTTGTAACAAATATGCATGATGGAGCAAAATCAATATCTTTGTTGGCTGTATACAGAACTATGTATGCCTCATTTTCTACCCTCACTCCACCATCTGTCTAACAGGAGGTGTAAAGAATGTTTGATCATCAGTCTTTTAAAATCATGAATGGTGATTTTATCCATCATGGTACTTACAGATTTCAAAGTTGTTTCTCTTCATAGTGTTGTTGTTATTATATAAATTGTTCTTGTGGCTCTGCTAATTTCACTCATTAAGTTATAAAAATCCTAAAATTATTCATTTTTATGACATTGATACTATAATCCAAATTGTTCTCCTGGTTCTACTCACTTCACTCTGCATCAGTTCATATAAACCTTTCTGTGTCCATTTATGTTTTTTTTTGGAAACCCAAATTTATTTAATCATACTATTTCCTGATGAAATTCATAATATACAGGCCTCAAAATTGCTCATTTTTATAATATCGATATTATAGCTTAAGTTGGTTTTTTTGGTTCTTCTAACTTCACTCTGTAAGTAATGAGATAGTTGGCTTCAAAAAGATATCACAACGCTTCCATGAACTGATCCACATTTTTTCCTCTCTACTTGCTTAAAATAATTAAAGCTGGCAGGCGTCTCAGAGACCATTCTGACAAATCTGCTGATTTTACAGATGAGAAGCTGAGGCCCAGTGAAGCTGTGACTAGCTAAGGTCATACAAATAGCCCTTAGTAGAACCATGGGGAAAATTATGGCATTGGGTCAAACTATGGATTAGGAGTGAGGATAGAAATGATACTCATGTAAAACTATATTTTCCTGAAATGATATTAATCATCTATGATAATAAACGATGTTCAATGTGCACATAAAACCACAGACTAACTATGATCTCTCACATCCTTACTAGATGCTGGCTTGAATGACCTTGATGCTAACATGTTCAAAATAATTTACTTTTTCTCACTTATTGCTTCCAAATTTTGCTTTTCCAAGTCAGTAAGTTATGGCAGAGTCTCTGTCCATCTGGAACTCTTGAAATTCTGTCATTTTGTCAGTTTTGGCTGGGATTAAGGTATGAGCACCTTCTGTCAAAGCTGAGGTAAGAAATATCTTGATGTAAAATGGAGCGAACAATTGATAACACCATCTGAAAAGCTCGGAAATGGTATGGCTCCCAGCATTTAGGAATGGTTCTAGGAAAAGGTGAAGAAGTCAGGAATAGGACAATTCTCTCCCCCAGGAGAGAACCAGTCTGCAGCAAAGGAATCTGATATCTCCAACACTGGAAGAAGGGAGAGCCAAATACACGTTCCATTTCTGTTCAGTTTTTACTCTCCCCAAAGTTTGTTTTTTTGAGGCCATTTTTTTAGGCAATTGGAGTTAAGTGACTTGCCCAGGGTCACGCAGCTAGTAAATGTTAAGTGTTTGGTCTGAGGGCAGATTTGAACTCAGGTCCTCCTGACTTCAGGGCTGGTGCTGTATCCACTGTACCACCTAGCTGCCCTGAGGCCACTTTTGTTCTTGGCTATGGCTCAGCCTTGAGAGCCTTTTCTGTCTCTAATTCAGGAAAACCTGAGTTCAATTCCAGCCTCAGACACATAACACTAACTGTGTGACCCTGGGCAAGTCACTTAACCCCATTGCCTAGCCAAAAACAAAACAAAACAAAAAAAAGTATCACCCACCTCCCAGGGTTGTTGTGAGGATCAAGTGAGATAATATTTGGAAATTGTATTGTAAAGTTTAAAGTACCATCTAAATGCCAGTTACTGTATTATTCTACTCATTTTACTTACATTTTACTATCTTTTTTTTATATCACCTATATTTCCTACTGTATCCTTAGTTTCTCGTAGTCCTAGAGAAAAATCCTATGTAACAGATTTTAAAAGGGGGTGGATGATCAAAATTGAGCCACAAATTTTTAAAAATCTGATATTATTATTTGATATATCAGATATTATATGTAATGTTCTACCTTTCAAAGAATGGGGGGTTGGGAGTTCTTATTTCTTTTTTGAATTTAGTCATTATAATTCTGCAGCATTCAGTATCATTTTTTTCAGTATATCCTATTAAGTTATTTGTGTCTGTTGTTTTCCTGGTTCTAGTTAGTTACCTTTTCTTTGTTCAGTATTCTTTGTTGCACACAGCATAGTCATCTTCCATTACGTTCGCTTAGCATGCCTTGTTTAGCCATTGCATAGTGGACACCTACCCCTTGCTTAAAAAGAGACATGCTACATAGAGAGATTTTGCATCCCAGTGGATACTCAAAGGTTATACTTAGCTTATGAGACCCAGCCCCTAATTTCAAGCACCCAAAGATGGTAAAGTGAACGTGACCAAAACATGCACTACTGGAAAAATAGTAAAATGCAATTGCATGGTTCCCTGCATGTAAAGATGCTATGGTGGGATTAAGGAAGCATTGATGGTGGAAAGACTTTGAATCATAGTTAGAGATGAAATGGTTTTTAAAATTGCTTTAGTCTTATTTGGGTCAGTGCATTTTGGTTTTTTTTTTTTTCCCTTTCCCCATCATGGCGTCTCTTATTACTGGAAATAACTCTCCTGTAAATGCAATTGGCGGGTAGCTCTATAAACAGCTATAACTCGAGAGGGACAAATGAAGCTTTGTCCCAGGGATGGGAGTGGGAGAGGTATTTGAAGACATGAAATAGGTCCTTCATGGGGCACTTTCCCTGCCCATCACACCCCTAATGTGTTGTCCTAGGCTACTATATCTCAGTGCAGTCAACCCCCAATCATTTTCCTCAGGAGCAGAAACAGCTTCTTTCCTATCTGTCCATGTCCACTGAGACCTGTATATTACAGCATAATCCTTTCTACCTAACAGTATAGAATGCTACTATTGAAA